CAAAGGGCAGGACCCGGCCCTTGGCCTGGTTGAACCTCATCCCCTTGGAATCAGCCCAACTGTCCAACCTGGCTGGAGGCTCATGGAGCACACAGAGGTTGGGAGAGGGGCAGCAGGTCCATGTCTGTGCTGCCCCAGCTCTGAGTCTGGCTGTGAACACAGAGAGAGGAGCAGTTGAAGTTTGGGAGCGTTGCACCAAAGAGCCTGGGTGGGGCTGCACCCCCAACCCTGGGACAGCTCTGGGGCCCTCAGGACAAGAAGGACATGGAGGGGCTGGAGTGTGTGCAGGGAAGGGAATGGAGCTGGGGAAGGGTCTGGAGCACCTGGAGTGGCTGAGGGAGTTGGGGAAGGGTGGGGAACACGAGGAATGTCTGAGGGAGCTGGAGGGGCTCAGCCTGGAGAAAAGGAGGTTCAGGAGGGACCTTCTCATGCTCTGCCTCTCCCTGACAGGAGAGTGGAGCCAGGGGAGGGTTGGGCTCTGCTCCCAGGGAACAAGGGACAGGAGGAGTGAAAACAGCATCAAGCTGTGCCATGGGAGGATAAGGCTGGATATTGGGGAAAATTCCTTCATGGAGTCCCCATTCCTGGAGGTGTTCAAAAAACGTGTGGATGTGGCACTTGGGGACACAGTTTAGGGGTGGCCCTGGCAGTGCCAGATCTTACAGAGCTTTTCCAACCACAATAACTCCATGATTCTGTTTAGGCTGGAAATGTGGAGTGCAAGGTCTTTATTGACAGCACATGACTGCTGAAGAAGATGAGTGGGATCCATGAGGAAAATCTATCCCATAATCCAGATCATGGGAAGACTCAGGTGCTTTTTGAGTTTGATGGGTCATTTTTTCACTGCTCTTGCAGGACAGGCTTGGAAATGTTTTCCTTATGTCCCCTTCCTTGATGCAAAGTGACTACAAACTGCAAAAAGCTTTCTGTTCCTTTCTTTTCCTTCCAGCAGGTGCCAGGATGCTTCTGGAAAAGGTCTGCTGAATAGCAGACCTTAAATCCCTTAAGAGCACGTGTTTTGCAAGATCTTGATGTGAAATAATGCAAAAATCCACGGTGGAGTTAAAAATTTCATTTTCCCAAAGACAGAGAGCAACAACAAAATTGTGGTGTTGTCAACACCATTTAATTTAGGTAGTCCCACTGAAAATTAAACAGAGATTTAAAAAAATGATTTTCCACGTTTGTGGGACAGGTAGGACAAATAATTCTGCTTTCACTTTTCTCCGTACAAAAGTGGTAGGTAGAAAGCCTGGAGCTCCTCGCTGCTATTAACTGGGGAGCTGAAATTCTTTTTCCTTACCCAATTTGCAGTTGCCAGACATGGGATTTCGTTTTGCTTTCTGCTCCCCTGGCCGGTGCAGGAGTTTTCTCATCCAAGTCTTCCTGCTGATCTGTCCACAACCCCTCATCCACGACCTGGAATTGCACATCTCATGTATAAAACAAGAACATGTTCCCACTCCTGCTGATCAACCTTTGCACTTTGTTCCAATCTTCCTTTTATCTGAGATTTGCCTGATAAAAATAATGATTCCTTCAATATTCAATGAATAATCAATGAATAATCAAAACCAGTGGAGCACATGGTCCATCCTGAAGGTGTATTTATATTTTGAATCCCAAAATATAAATTAACTCGACCAAATCAAGTGTGAACATTTCTGAAAGTAACTCTCCTGGCACTAGAGATGAGAAGTATAAATTTCCAAGGATTCTGAGCTCTTGAAGAGCAGCTGGATCCCAGATCCCTGCACTGGAAGGGGGTTGTTTTCCTGGGATTCCTGCACCAGCAGATAGGTTGTTTTCTCTGGATACCTGGAGTGGCAGGCAGCTTGGATCCCAGATCCCTGTGCTGGCAGGAGGGTTGTTTCCCCTCTATCCCTGCACTGGAAGGAGGTTGTTTTCCTGGGATCCCTACACTGGTTGTTTCCCTGTATCCCCTCACTGGAAGGAGGTTGTTTTTCTGGGATCCCTGCACTGGCAGGAGACTGTTTTTTCCCCAGATCCCTGCACTGGCAGAAGGCTCTTTTCCTGGGATCCCTGTACTGGCAGGAGATTGTTTTCCTTGGATCTCTGCACTGGCAGGAGATTATTTTCCCTATATCCCTGCACTGGCAGGAGATTATTTTCCCCAGATCCCTGCACTGGCAGGCAGGTTGTTTCCCTGGTATCCCAAGACTGAAGTAGGTTTTCTCTGGAATTCCAGGACTGACAGGCAGGTTGTTTTCCCTGGGATCCCTGCACTGACACCTCCAGGGGCTGGACACACCCTACAGCAGGCACTGCCACAGTTCCTTGGTGGATGAAGGAGAGCAGGGTTGGATTAGTTATTGGAAGAAATCCCTCCCTGAGAGGGTGGGGAGGCCCTGGCACAGGTTGCCCAGAGAAGCTGTGGCTGCCCCATCCCTGGAAGTGTCCAAGGCCAGGTTGGACAGGGCTTGGAGCAACCTGGGCTGGTGGAAGGTGTCCCTGCCCATGGCAGGGGTGGCACTGGGTAGTCTTTAAGGTCCCTCCAACCCAAACCAGCCTGGTGCCCTCAAGGTACCTCCTCATCACTTTGCACTTTCCACCGTCTCCCACCCACAGATTGTAAAACGTGATTATTGTGACCTCATTTTGAGGAATTCAGTCCCTCAGTCTGAGTCCTCACCTCCATCCTGGCACTGTCATCCTGTCACTCCTGGCCCAAGATCCCCCTGACAGCCCTTTCCACCCTCCTCTGCTCCCACCTGTCAGGTCACAACTGACTTTTCCCTTTGTTTGTGTGACACAAAAACACGTCACTCCGCGCAGAACTTGAGAGCACGAACTGACAGCGAGCAGGAGAAGCCTGGGCTGTAAATCTGGAAGGTTTGGACCGCTTGGATCGTGGCTCAACAGCCCCCGGGTTTTTTCCCGGCGCTGAAACATCAGTCACTCAGCAAAGGGGCCCTTGGCATCATCGAGGCTCTTCTGCCATCTCGTGGAGGAGGGGAGCAAACACCCTCTAGTTGGATTTTAAATTCTAAACTCGAAGTTACAGAAGGGAATTTGAATGTTCGGTTCTGCCCTTTTCTTTAAAAAAATATAAAAATTAAAAAAAAACCCAAAACCAAAACAGTGAAACAGGCAAAGCGTCAAGTGCTCCTCAGTCTCTGTTCAAGGGGGTTCTAACACTTAAATAATTTCCTTGTGGTTCTTGGGCTCAAAAAATTTGCTGAGTTATTAATTGTTAAGGCTTCCCAACCAAAACTAATGCTCGTCTGTGCCTCCAGCCCAGTGCAAATGTATGAGCCGTTCAGCAAGACAAGGACAAGATGTTGGGAATACTGGAAGTGAAATGTTTTCCTCTTTATGCCCACAACAGTGTGCCCATCACTGACGTAGTGGTTGGCAGGATATTTTTGGGGAAATGGGTGAATTTCTCAAAAAATGAGTTAATTTCTTGCATTTCTTGCAATCTGTGCTGAGATCTCCCTGGCTCTTTGGGTTCTCCCCTCCCAGTTCCCAGCCTGGCAGGTCCCAGGCTGCTCTGATGCCAAAGGAAGGTTTTGCAAAGCCATCAGGAGCCCCAAAGTGGAAGTGTTTGTTCCTGGACAGTTCCTCCAGTTCCTGCTCAAGGCATTTGTTGCCGAGGTGGAATTTCTCACTTGTGATGCAGCTCATGGAATCACTTCAGAGTATCATAGAGTGGGTTGGGTTGGAGGGACTTAAAGCTCATCCCATTCCACCCCCTGCCATGGGCAGGGACACTCCCCACTAGCCCAGGTTGCTCCAAGCCCCATCACACCTTGCCTTGGACACTTCCAGGATTAATCTTTCCTTTCCTCTGCCTTTCTGGCCACTCCATGAGTGTGCAAACCACACCTGCTGATCTTTCACCCCAAACCATTCTGGGATTCTACGCAAAGATCAATTGGCACCTCTTTTCCTGGGCCTTCCTTTGTTCTGTGATGCCCAAAGAGACCTTCCTGCAGGGACAGATGTGCAAGAGAGGTGCCTCCCTTCCCACCCTCAGCTTCAGGCACGGAAAGGTGATGAAAAGATGCCCAATCCAACAAATTAAAGGCAGGCCCTGCTAAGCCAGGGTGTTCCCAGAGGTGCCTCTGCATTCCCAGGATATCCTTGGCTTTGTGTCCATTCGATTGACCCCTTCCCTGTTTTCCAGGCAGGGAACATCAGGTGGGGGTCGGGCTCTGCTCCCAGGGAACAAGGGACAGGAGGAGAGGAAACGGCCTCCAGCTGTGCCAGGGGAGGGTCAGGTTGGACATCAGGAGGAATTTCTCCATGGAAAGGGTGGTCAGGCCTTGGAAGGGGCTGCCCCGGGAGGTTTGGAGTCCCCATCCCTGGAGGTGTCCAGGGGAGGACTGGATGTGGCACTCAGTGCTCTGGGCTGGGGACAAGGTGGGCATCGGGCACAGAGGGGAGGGGAGGGGAGTCTGCAAACCGTGGTTCCTGCTGTCCAGTGCTCCTTCCTGCATCTTATCCCTTTGCATCCACTGAGAGAGCTGCACTTCGGGGAAGATGTAGGACAGCTGGTGTGACTCCAGAGAGGACCACGAGTGTTCCTGGGGGGCAGACCAGTAAGAGAGGACAGAAAAAATAAGCAGGAAACAGATGAGATTAGGGTGAGGATGAAAATATTGGATTTGGACTGGATAAGTAGAGAGCTGATAAAAGAGAACAAGGTTGGTCTGATCTCCATTTCCATGTGCAGAACTGGGAATTGTGGGCTGTTGGTTTTTCCTGACGTTTAGCCTGGGGAAGAGAAGCTTTGGGCCTGAAGGGGCTCCAAGAGAGCTCGAGAGGGACTCTGGACAAGGGTCTGGAGGGACAGGACACAGGGAATGGCTTCCCACTGCCAGAGAGCAGGGTTAGATGGGATATTGGGAAGGAATCCTTCCCTATGAGGGTCATGAGGGCCTGGCACAGGGTGCCCAGAGAAGCTGCGGCTGCCCCTGGATCCCTGGAAGTGTCCAAGGCCAGGTTGGATGGGGCTTGGAGCAACCTGGGCTGGTGGAAGGTGTCCCTGCCCATGGCAGGGGATTGGACTGGATGGGCTTTAAGGTCCTTCCAACATAAACCATTCCATGATTCTGGGATTCTGTGAACTACAGCAAGGGGTTGATTCAAAGAGAAAAGGTTTAAATAACAGACACAGTGAAGCTTCAGACATTTCTGAGGAAGTTGTGGAATTTCCCTGGTCTGCACGACCTTAAGAACGAGTCAGAAAAGCAACTCCCAGGAACGACTCGGAAAGAATCACTTCTGGTTTGGAAGGAAAATGTAAATCTGTAGTTCCACATAAATCTGTGTGGATCAATAGACCCCACAGATCTACCAATAGATCACCATAAATCTGGATCAATAGATCTTTAACTCACAAAATGTGAATCGGCAGATCTGTAAGTCTGTTTGGATCAATAGATTCGTGTCTCGCTGTAAATCTGATGGGATCGATAGATCTGAAGCTCACCATGAATCTGGATCAATAGATCTGTGGATCAAAAGCCCTGTGACCTCCTCTGGTTTCACATGGACACATATCCTGTAGCTCTGGGCAGGTGGGTCCTGGGGTCGTTTGCATCCTCTAGTTCTCCCTCTAATTCCTGACGCAATAAACCCAACCCTAAATTCTTGGTGACCAAGACCCAGCCCCAGAGATGAGCACTTCAGAGGTTATCTCTGGAGCCAGACCAGTGGGCCTGAGCCCACGGCAGGGGGTGGAACAAGATGGAACCCAAACCATTCCCTGCCTCATCCTCTGTGTCCCACATGCTTATCTTTAACCTCCCTGTACAAATCCCTTCCCCTTCTCTGCCTCAGGTGATCCTGTTACTCAGCCCATGGACTTTCTGACTCCCAAGGCTCATTTTCTTGCTGGTGCTTTTCTGGTGCTCCTCTGACTCACGTCCTGGAGAGACACTCGTGATCCAGGTGTGGGACATCCCTTCCAGACCGGCACTCCCAGACAACCCCCACAGGAAGGGATGGTCTCCACGGGGTGCTGATCATGTGCCACAGCACAGGCAGCTGGCAGAGCTTCTGGATCACCTTGTGGAACAACTTGGCCATGTTTGAGAGGTGAGGTCAGAGTTCTGTGCAGAGCTTTATCAGGCAATAAATGTTAATATTCCTCAGCCCTCACTGCCAGAGTGTCACCGGAATGGATTTCTTGTTTTTATTAAGGAGATGAAAGATTGGTCGGAGAGAAGGCTCTAGAAAGGCTCCAATAACTGGACACCACCTGACCAGACACCCCCATACCCCCAGAAATCTGCACCACAAAGAAGTGCTTTGTACAAGGCCCTGTGTTGGTTTGACCTCACAGTGCTGCAGACTCAGGAATCAGGATCTGCAGCTGCCTTTGTTTTACACAGAACAAACAGTATTCCTGCCATAAACCCTTGGAGGAAGGGCTCCTGTTCTGTTTGCACTCATTTGCCCAGTCTTTCCTCAAACCCAGCTGTCTCCTGACATCCTGTACCCGCAACGATCAGCAGTCCCTCTCAGAGATCCACCAGTCCCTCTCAGAGATCCACCAGTCCCTGTTAGAGATCCACCAGTCCCTCTCAGAGATCCACCAGTCCCTCTCAGAGATCCACCAGTCCCTCTCAGAGATCCACCTGTCCCTGACTGATTGAACTGGTTTGGCTGTTCCTGGTGTTGCCCCTCAAAGAGAGGTGCAGAATCCTGGCCCTGCACAGAGACCCCAGCAATTCCACCCTCTCCCTGAAAGTGTTGTCCAAACACTCCTCGAGCTCTGGCAGCCCTGGGGCCGTGACACTGCCCTAGGGTGCCCTGGGAGGAGCCAGAGGATGGTATCCTTGCTCTGGCAGGACAGTGAGAGTTTCCCAACCTTCCACTGAGAAGGCATCTGAGAATTGCCTGATTGCCCAGAGAAGCTGTGACTGCCCCTCAAAGTGTCCAAGGCCAGGTAGGACCAGACTTGGAGCAACCTGGGCTAGTGAAAGGTGTCACCCTGCCCCTGGTGACAAGATGAGCTTTGAGATCTCTCCCAACCCAAATCAGCCCATCCCTTTTGCTTTATTTAGTCATAACAGAGCTGCTTTTGCTCAAGGAGCATTTTAGACATTGCCTTACCTTGTTGAGGAATTTTATCCTTTATTGAGACTTGCCTGTGTATCTGTAACTGCAAGAGCCACGTGAGACCGGACCCACTGTGACGTTTGTTGGAGGAGTTTATAATTATGACCTTGACTTCCAGATAATATTGTGATGAAACTCCCAGTAGCTCCTGCTGCAGACAGCTACAAGCCCTTAATGAAAGAGAGACTCCCTTGTCCACAGTGACAGTCTGTAGCTCCCAGCATCTTCTCCCAAATTTCCCCAGGTGGTTCCTACTTTTCTGTTCAGGCGCTCCCTAAAAAGGTCAACTCGGAATTACTGGTGAATTTTTGAGGAAAAAGCATCACCTCTCTTATATCTTGACTCTGCCAAATATGATTTTGTAAGAAATCAGTGTAACAGAGCTTGGTGTGGGGCCTCATGGAGGAGGAAGGTGATTGATGTTCATAGAATCCCAGAATGGTTTGGGCTGTGAGGGACCCAAAGCCCGTCTCATTCCCACCCTCTGCCATGGGCAGGGACACCTTCCACTAGCCCAAGTTTCTCCAAGCCCCATCCAACCTGGCCTTGAACACTTCCAGGTATCCAGGGGCAGCCACAGCTTCTCTGCCCAACCTATGCCAGGGCCTGACCACCCTCACAGCCAACATTTCCTTCCCAGTATCCCATCCAACCCTGCCCTCTGGAAGTGGGAAGATATTCCCTGTGTCCTGTTCCCCCATCCCTTGTCCCAAGTCCCTCTCCAGCTCTCCTGGAGCCCCTTTAGGCACTGGAAGGGGCTCTCAGGTCTCCCTGGAGTTTCCCTCCTCCAGGTGAACCCCCCCAGCTCTCCCAGCATGATCCAGAACAGAGGAGCTCCAGCCCTTGGAGCATCTCCGTGACCCCTCTGAGACTCTTTTTGAGTGGCAATTACAAACCAGTTTTGGTCACGTCTCCAACCTGCCATAGATGTCCACAGTTAACTGTGGGACAGTTCCTTGGTGCAATGTGTTCCTCCTGGAATGTGAGGGGGAAAGAATCCTCTGATGTGCTGCTCTCTGAATGAACTCATCACTCCAGTGCTGAGTTTTCTCTGCCGTTGACTTGTCGGGGTTCAGACCTCCCACCCTTCCCAAAAACAACCTGTTCAAACAGTTTTATTGCTGGAATTGGCACCCTTTGTTATTTCTGTGAGTCAGGGCTCTTCTGCTGTGGCTTTGTGTTCTCACCCAACCACATCTGTCCCTTCCGACTCCATCCAGAAGCACCACAAGGCCTCTGAAGTTTGAGTCAACAAAGGTGATCAAAGACAGGGAGCAGCTTTGCAGCACAAAGAGGTTAATGATACAAAGGCAATTCAGTGAAATGATCAGACAGCAGGTTCAGGATGATCACAAATACTTCCTTCCCATCCCCAAATCTGCCCCACACTTGGAACGAGCTTCAAAAAAACACCCAAAAAAGTCTTCCAGAGCTATGAAATGCCAATGCAGCTCATGAGCAAACTGAGATACAGGCCCTTGGAAGCAGCACAGAAGTATCACTGGATGTTCCTGTGCTTCTTGAAGATGTCTGTGAGTAGCTGTCCTTCCATAATTAACTGTTCTGCACAGTTGTCCCCCTCACCCTTTTCCTCTCCCCTTTAGCAGATTAAAGAAGTTCATCTCTCTCTGCCACAGGCCCATCACCACTTTGGTCACCCTGCGCTGGATTCTCCATCTTTTCCCCCCCTGGTATCACCAGGAGAGGGGTTGGACATCAAGGAAAATCAGTTGCCTGAGGCAAATCAACTGAATCCCAAATAAATGGGGACACTCAGGCGTGGGGAGACATCAGGCTGGGCTGTATTTACTATCTACAACAGAGGAATGCTGAGAGGAATACTGGGATTCAGGGTACCCCCTTATTCACTGGCACAAGAAACAGAAAACATATTGATGTGATCAAAAAGTATCTCACCATGGCTGGGCTGAAAACACCAAAAAAAGACCTTCTGACTCCAGTGTCTGACAGTGCAAATATCCCGGGCAGAGGAGAACAACATTGGATTTGTCTTTCAGATTACTGAGAAAAAAAACCCAAGATAAGCTCCTGGAAAGATCTAAGAGCATGTTTATGTAAACCCTGTGATTTTTTTTATCAGGACATGGTAAAATATTTAATACAAACAGTCTTTGGCTGTACCGTGGCTTTTATAGACTTTTTATTGCTCATAAACCAAGTCACGTCATTGTTGGAACATTCTCTGACTCTTGTAGTTAAAATATTACCCCAAGGACAATCCCACCTTTGTGTTCTCAGTGTTTGCTGAGCAATCCTTGGGGATCCTTGAATTTGCAAGGGGTGGGATGAGACCAATCCCATCAGCTTTGCCTGCAATCACTCTGCTTTTTTACCAGGAAAAGCATTTAGCACTGAAATTTCCTAAAAAAAAAAAAAAGAAAAAAAAAGAAAAAGCTCTTTTTTTTTAATTATTAAAACTGTTCTCCTGGTTCCAAGTCAGAAATTCACTGATATTGAACAAAAAGACAAAAGTAAGAGGGACTGAGCACTGAAATGGGCTGCTCAGAGAGGTTGTGGAGTCTCAATCCTTGGAGATACCCAAAAATCACCTGGAGACAGTCCTGGAAAAGCAGCTCCAGCCTTCTGCTTCTACCTCTGTTTCGTGGTTCTATGCAAGAATTTCTTCCTAAAATCAACCCTCCAGCTTAAGGCCACTCCCCCTCATCTTGTCACTGCATGGCCTTGAAAAAGGTCCTTTCTCTTTTATTGCAAAAAAGCACCACAGCCACTAAAAGCCTTTGAAATCCTTGTCCCACGTTCTTTCTTTGGAACTTGGCCCTAAATCTCCTTTCCATTTCCTCCACCCTCACTGCTGTAACCAAGAATGGGGGCACTTCCAGGAGCAGGAGAGCAGGAAGATGTTTTTTTTTTCCCCTTCCCACCTGTACAATCTCCATCCTGCAGCTTCTTCGTCATCCTCATGGAAAGGATGATGAAGATAAGGGGGGTTTTTGCATGTGAGCAAAGTGCAGAGAGAAACTCATGTTGCTTAAAGGGGGCACTGTTATGCCCCCAGAAGTTCCCTATGAGTTGGAGCAAATTTTCCCAAATAATTAAAAATGGCACCACAGAAAATGATGCACTGGTGTTCCCTGCATTTTTCACTAATAAAACAATGTCAGTGCTTTAACAAGGAGCACAAATGTGGACAATAACAGGTTTGGGCAAGTCCTAAACTCCAAAATCAGCCTGAAACTCTCCCAGGTCAGTACATAGAATCCTGTTGTTTGGTTAAAACCTGATTACAGACTTGCCCATCTGGTCGTTGGGTGAACACTCAGAACCAAGGCCATGGCAGCTTCTGAGAAAACTTCCTTTTATTGGGGCAATCTCCAAAAAAATTGAGTGTATATGGAGTTTGTTCCAGTGGCATCTTCCCTCACCCCTCTCCCAGGGACAGACCTCACTCCCAAGGATGTGCCAATGTCCAGCCCTTCCATTTGCAGCTGAACTTGGGAGGTACAAAAAGATTTACTGGGACGGGAAAATTTCGAAGCGGAAAAACTGCCCAATATTCCCTTTGATTTGGCTTCAGGCGGCTCTGATGAAGCTGCTCAGGGAAGTGTGGATGCTGCTGGTGTCCTGTGCCCTCCAGAACACTCCTGGACGTGGTGGCATCTCACTGACCCTCACTGAGCCATGGGAATGAATATTGAAGGCAGCTGATGTGTGTGCCCGGGAATAAAGGACAAGGGATTCCTAGGATTGGCTGCAGTGGTTCAAATGTGATTGCACCAATGCTCCTGTTGTGTTGCTCTTCTCAAAAAGCCCAGCCTGCAGAAGACCAGGCCTTTCTGCTGCTGCTCTGAGCTGTTTCTCTCCTGAGAGGAGCTCCTTGAACACCCTGCTCTTACTCACTGGTTGTTGATTCAGTGATGTGCTCAATAAAATGGGATTTCCAGCAAAATCATGTGCCCTCCTGGTTCACTTTCATCCCAACACCGAATAAACTCTGCTAGCACTTTCCAGGTAGCACTGGCAGACAAGGAAACTCACTGAATTTAGAGTTCAGCACCGTGGGAAGGGCCCCGGTGACCCAGGAAGTTACTTTGCAGCCACAACCACATCTGTTTCATGCCAACAGACAGTTCTCTGTGTAAAGATATCACGGAAAAAGCTTAAAAAATTCTTTAATTGAGATTTGGACGAATATTTAGTCAAAAATTAAATACACTCTATGTCTCTCGAAGCTGTTCTGACAGATAACAGTTTGAGCCAGAGAGAAATAATGTGAATTAGCCCTCAGAACTTCTTGCCTTGTCCAAGGACAGGTGTTCACCACATCCTACAGCACCCAGGCCACAAACCCCTTCAACAAAAAATGCTGTAGAAGAGACAAAACCTGACACAAACAGACCTCACAAATAAATCCACGTGGTGTAGTCAGGGTCAAGACACAGTGTGAGTGGGAAAAGAATCAGTTCCTGAACCACCAGATTGAGTGTGGAAATATCTTATGGATCCTCTGCAGGACCTGCTCACAGCACTCCCATGTTTCCTGCCTTACCCTGCCCTTTTGGCCTCTCATCACCTGTTTTACACAGTCCTTACGTACAGCAGCAAGAAATGGGAGACAGAATTTTCTAACCAGAGCCCAGAGATAAGAGTTGATGGTCTGCAGATCTCACCTGAGTACAGAGATTACGACATGGGTGACGTCTGTGCTCTCATTAGGGATTAAATATTAATAGGAAATTTATGGAATCATATCAGAGAATCCCAGGATGGTTTGGGCTGAAGGGACCTTGAAGATCATCCAGTTCCACCCCACTGCCATGAGCAGGGAAACCTTCAACTAGCCCAGGTTGCTCCAAGCTCCGAGTTTCAGGAAGAGCCTTATTTTGAGACTGTCTCTTTGGAATTTGCTCTTGGATGGGTTTTGTCCTGGATGTAAGGAATCCTCTTCTCCACAGTCACAGCCTTTCTGTCCAATGAAACAGGAATTTCTACACCTAATGTTGCTTTTTAAACAGCATTTCTGGATTTAGGCACCCACTCCCTGGGCTCAGTGTGTAGCTGTGGAGCACTGAGAGTCTTGTTGGAACTTGGTCGTTGAGTTGAGGGCCCCACATGGAAAAAATGGAGGCAATAATTCACCAGTTAAAAGGGAATAATTTAAAATCTCAGATATAATCTTATATTAGTATGAGGGAGCTGGGGGGGCCCAGCCTGGAGAAAAGGAGGCTCAGGGGGGACCTTCTGGCTCTGCAACTCCCTGACAGGAGTGGGGAGGCGGGGGGAGTCGGGCTCTGCTCCCAGGGAATGAGGGACAGGAGGAAAGGAAATGGCCTCAAGCTGTGCCAGGGGAGGCTCAGGTTGGATGAGCAAATTTCCTTCATGGAATCCCAGGCTGGATAAAAAGATTCCTTCATGGAAAGGGCAGTCAGGCACTGGCACAGCTGCCAAGGACACTGGCAGAGTCCCCATCCCTGGAGGTGTTCAGGGGGTGTGTGGTCACCAGCCATGGCCCATCCCTCTGGTGAGTGCAGAGAGGGGAACGGAGCTGGGGAAGGGGCTGAAGCACCAGGAATGTTTGAGGGAGCTGGGGGGGCTCATCCTGGAGAAAAGGAGACTCAGGGGGGACCTTCTCGCTCTCTGCATCTCCCTGACAGGAGGGGGGAGGCAAGGGCTCTGCTCCCAGGGAACAAGGGACAGGAGGAGAGGGAACGGCCTCCAGCTGTGCCAGGGGAGGGTCAGGTTGGACATCAGGAGGAATTTCTCCATGGAAAGGGTGGTCAGGCTTTGGAAGGGACTGCCCAGGGAGGTTTGGAGTCCCCACCCCTGGAGGTGTCTGAGGAATGACTGGACGTGGCACTCAGTGCCCAGGTAGGGATCAGGCACAGGTTGGACTCCATGACCTTGGAGGGCTTTTCCAGCCTCAATGATCCTGGGATTCTGTGACCACAAAGTAGTTTAAGTTCAGGACACATTAATAAGATATGTTTTATTGCAGTGAATCCCCGGACATGACACACCTTATATAGGGAGAAAGCAAGTAGGCAAGACTGTCCCAACATAAAACTAACCCCAAAACCCAGCAAAAACATAAAGCAAAAAAAAAAAAGAAGTCCAAATTATTACTGGTTTTATTTCATATACAGGTTATAAACGTGGGCAGATCCTTCCTTCACTGTCTTGCCACCAAGAAGTACAACCATGAGGCAGTGCTTTCCTTTCTAAGTGATTCCAGCACTACAGGTTGGAATTCCTTTCTCCTAAAGGGAGCTGAAAGAACATGGATATCCAACCACGTGAGAAGTGTCCCTGTGCTCCTCTACATCCCTAAATACACAGCAATTAGTACAAGTAACAGACCGATTTCTGGCTGTGAAAAGGTTGCTAAACAGCAGGAATTTATCCCAAGTTATTTGCTGCAGTGCTGTTGCAAACAGAGAGGTGTCACCTGCAGACAGGGAGAGTGATCCAAGACACTGGGAAAGGGCTGGGAAAGGGGATAACCCAGTGCCATGTGCAGGGGAGGCCAAATCACAGGCAGATATTAGTGATCAGATATTACTTATTAGACATTAAATATTAGATATTAAATATTAGCTACTAAAAAGGCTGCAGGAGGCTGCTGATTTCCAACTGGGAGCGTTCAAATCCCGGCAAAATAGTGGGAAATGAAACCCAGGACATTTTCATTCGAGTGTGACCCCACTCCAGCAGCACTGGAGGCTCTCGGATGAGGTCTCAGTCTCCTCGTTGGC